TGGTACCTGCAACTGTTTACTTCCTCCGAGGTTAAACTTAACCTCAAGAAGAAGTCCATCATGAATTAATATATCCTACGATTTCTCAGATTCTACAGAATTTGAGAATCGAGGTACTAGACATACTGAAAATGATAGATATGGTTTGTCTTATTAGACAGACTATCCTTGATCTTGACATGACTGGCCTGAATATTCTCATGACTGAATAAATATGACTTGACTTTTACATGACTGAATCATCTTTGTCTGAACTCTGAAAGTTATCCCGAGATAACTAAATAGTCGCTTCGGGATTAAAGACATGATATTTACTGACTTACTTGACTTGATAAGGTACGACTTCAAGTTTCCAGGTAAAAATTGGATTAATAGTCTGTATTGCAGACCTCCATATTTAACCCGGCTGAACAACTATTATACGTCGACCTTAAACTCATGAACATTGTCCTTAAATCTTGAACATGGACTCATGACTATGTACTGTATAGGGTTGTTCCAGTATCAACTGGTCCCGCAAGTACAAAGGAATTAGCTGATCTCGATCTTTGAAAATCATAACTTGAAATATCATGACTGATAAAATACATGACATGACTGACTTGAAAGGTTGTTATTACATGAAATCATACTGCTCCGGTCCCAGCTTCAAGCCTCCATGGTATACCCGGCTAAGTGGCTCTTATTTCAAGCCTCCATGGTAACCCAGACTATTGACTCTTATACACTGGAAACCGTTACCTTAACAATGACTTGAGAATTGTAACAACCTTTATCATGAAAATTTAGCCCTATACTTGATTTACTGATCTGACTTAGAAACTTTGAGTCTATTCCACGAATTGAATCAAGGAATTCCTCCCTGAAATCTGCCAATTGGTTGGCAAAATGACAATTTTAGATAGAAAGTATCTGAGGAACATGATTGCTAAGATTTGTACAACATAAGTGTTTACAAATCTCTTGACGAATTGCTAAAATATGGCTGGAAAAATTACTGACATGAATCCTGAGAAAATCTAGAGTTATATCTGAGTACACTGAATTCTAAGGTCTGAACCTGATTCGAGCATCTTAACTATGTCATGATTAATAATTTCTGAGCATAGGCAAAGTAATATGTTTATAAGTGAAAACATAAATCAACACTTACCTGTAGTCGGCGAGGCGTAAGCATGACGGTTCAGGTTTTTTTTTTGAAAATTTCTGACTTATAAAACTTTTCAGAGACGCAGAAACGTGCTCTGATACCAATTGTAACACCCCGCTATTTTACTGAAATTCAGAGTACGCTTTTTCGCAAATTTTCTAAGTAAATAAATAAAATATTTATTTTGCGAAAACTGACTCGGAGTGTTACCGTAAAATCTGACTTTTCTGGAAAACCGTTAATTTTTAAACTGATAATAAAAACAGTTCTGAAATATTTTAACCGATTAACGTCGGGTCAAAAGCTAATTTAAAGTACTGAAATTGTAGCGGAAATGTAGCGTAGCCAAAACATAATATATACATATAAACAAATGTCCTGAGTCCGTCGCCCGCTCACTCCTCAGCTCCGACTCTGTGACCTGAAAAACATGAAATACGTGAGGGCGTGAGCACTAAAACACTGTGCTCCGCAGAAACTCATACTAAAGTAAAACAGTGAATATAATAACAATATCATGATCCTGGTATATACATAACCTGAACATGAAACTGGTAATAACATGAACATGAACCTGATATCATCACGTGAAAGTGAACCATGACCGTTACCTCATCTGCCAGCATAAAAATGTCGGACACCATGTGCATGTTGGAACCCATGAGGATCTCGATATGCACAAATCACAGAAAAACATTCAACATAAACCTATGCGCAGCGGATCTAAAGGTTTGATGAAGAAAACTTACTGCTTAAAATTTATGTAGATCTGGCCGCCCCGAACAGTTGACCGCAAATCAAATATTCTCGGAATCGAACAAACTTGACCAATCCAGAAAGCTGACGTCACGGCGAAGTCAACGGCATTGACCGGTCAGAAAACGGCCTTCTCACGCGCTCTCACGCGCGACGACAACTTCCAGCAGCAGGTTCCTCTCGGCGGCGCGTGGCGGCGCGTGCGGCGGAGTCCGGCGGCGATCTCGACGGCGATC